GAACAACGCGGGACCCACTGGGAGCAGGCGTTTGTCCCGGCCTTGGAAGTGGGGCGGGGACCCTTAATCAGGTCCGGGAGGCCGAGCGAAGGGGGTCTCTGGCCCCCAAGGCTCCTGACTCGGAACTGGACGAGGGTCTACGGTTCTGGGGTAGGGTCGGTGCCTCCCACCATTTGTGCAGAGCCAGCGGCCTACGTACGGGACCCAGAAGAAAGCTGTGCCCTTGCTCCTGGCGTGTCCCAGATGGGCCGCCCTGGGCCCGGGCGCCCAAGGGCTTTGCAGCCGACATCCTTCTCTCCATGGCGCCTGGGGCCTGCCCTGCTCAGCACCACTCCCTGGGTAACGGCGGGGCCTGGGGCGCTGCTGCCGGGAGCAGGCGAGGAGCAAGCCCCTGTTCCCAGGCTCCACCCTTTAGGCCCTGACGGGGAATGGTGCTCCCGGGTGCGGCCGTCCTCTCCTCGGCCTGCGGAGCAGGGCCTGTCTCCGGATGGCCCAAGCGTGTCCGTCAGAACTAAGCTCTCGCCAGGCAGACCTCTGTCCCCATGTCTGTCTATGAACCTGCACGGGGACCCGGGAAGTTAAGAAGCCATTCAAGCGTTCAAAAAATAAAAGCGGTGAAAACATTTCCTAAACTTAAGAAACTGCACATTTTCTGGAACGCACAGTTAGGACGGGTTTATGAAGGGCGATGTAAAGCGTGTTGCAAAGTCCCCAGAACCTAAAAAGGACCCAGAAAATATTGACTGCGTCCTCCTGGATATAATCTATGTGCCTTGCAAGCGCTAACACCGCCTGGCCAGCGAGAATGGCTGCTGGCACATCCTGCGGGCTTTATGGAGATTTACTCCCATAGAAAAGACACACATACCTAAAAGCACTATCACCAGCAGAGTTAATCACCTGTTGGACACACAACGCTGCCGCACACGCCAGATCAGGAGCCGCCTCCAGGTCTGCGGAGCCTGGCGGGGTCAGAGGCATCCAGCTCTTCAAATGACGCTTTCTCATAATTGAACAGCCTTCAGCCTATGAACGATAATTTAGTATTTGTAAAGGATAAAATATATGTCTTTTTATAAATTTGTTGAAACGTAAGGTTTACTTTTTTCTCATTCCCTTCTTTTCCTTCCATCTCTTCTTGATTATTATTTTTTGAGGTTACTTTAATCCAGGATTAAATACAGTAATTAGAAAATAACATGCATTAAATCTTACAGAATATTAGAGAAAATAGTAAAAATTAATAAAAGCAGAAAGTCCTCTTTTGTAAAGAAAAAAATGAAGAAACTAATAGTCTAGAAATATGCATATGCATTTAGTGCATAAACATGGAAAATGGAGGGTAATTCCGTGCAAGCCGGACAGCTGTATTTGAATAAGTAATGAAAAAGGGCCAACCTATTTTATTTTATTTTAAGGTGAGGATTCAGGGGGACTGGAGGGCTGTGGGCACCTGTGTCTTCCAGAGGCAACCCCTGAATGAGTTTGTTTCCATTTCTTGCAGCAGCCGGCTTAGCTAACCACAAAGTCTGAAAGATGCCTGAAGTTAGTTAAACAGTCCTCACCCATTCAGCCATAATTCACCCAGTTATGTGACAGGTCCAACCTGAAGGACCTGGAGAGGCTCTCGCAGTCATCACATCTTCTTTTTGGCGAGTTGAGAACTGGCTCCGACTTGGAGGCTTGGGGGGCCCTGCACAGACCCAGGGGAGCTGCTGGGATGGAGCCCACCTCAGGGGTCTGAGACATCGCCTCAGACTCGCCTTTCAGTGGAACATGCTGGGCTGACAGCCTTGTGGTCTGCCTGACTTTGAATCGGGTCTGTTTGGCATATTTGCTTAGAGACCTAGTCTTGAAGAGTTCGATGGTTTGGCTTCAGAAATTGTTTTAGAATATTTTAGAACAGGACGGAGTGATCAAGGGATAAATGCTGGATAGGAAACACTACCATGTAAACATGGAAACTTTTAAAGAGCTAAAATATTAAAGTACTGAAACAATATGAAGATGTTTGATTTACTTATTTTCACACACACGAGATGTGTGTGTCTGTGCGTATATGTGTATCTATGTGCATTCCTGTGTGTGTGCATCTGGGTGTGCACACCTGTGTGCCTCTAAGCACTGTTTTCGCTGTGGGAAACAGCAGTGAACAATAGTCTTTGCCCTCCTAAAGGGAGAGAGAAATAGGAGAAACAGGTAAGGAGCCTGGTACGAGTCCAGTGATAAACGCCGTGGAGGCGAGTGAAGCAGAGGGGCCAGGTTCCTGGGACCCCAGGCAGGGTCCAGCACTGAGGTTTTAAATTTAGGGGATCGGGAGGGTCATTTTGGTCAAACAGGAGGGGAACTGCAGGAGATGCTGTGCTCTGGACGAGGAGTGAGGCTGGCAGGCCTGGCCGGGGCATCCAGCTCTGTGGACCTGAAGCTTCCGTGACTGTGGCACTCATTTAGGGATGACAAGCCTTAGAGCCCCAAAGGTGGAGGTGAGTCCGAGACCAGGCTGAGCAGAGCCCCATTGGCCACGAGGCTTCCCAGAGAGCAGGGGGCCTGGAGGACACAGGAGCACAAGGGCAGGAGCGCCGAGAGCGAGGGGCCGTGCTGGCGGGCAAAGATGCGACTGATTGTCTGGGAAGGGAGGCCAGTGCTGGGCGACGGTGTGAACCCGCGTGCCCTTACATTTTGTGGTAGTCATATTTAGAAAAACAAAACAGTAACCAGTGAAATTCCCGCTGCTGATGTATTTTACTGAACTCAGTATATCAGAACAACTATCAATTCACCCTGAAATCAACACAACACATCTTTGGACATTTGAGACTCTATTCCACATACTAAGTCTCTAAAATCCAACTTGAATTTTACGTCTATAGCCCCCCCACCCCATGCAATCCAGGGCAGCATTGGAGTGCCGTGTCCCCAAGTCCACACAGCAGCACTGCAGCCCCCGCCCCACATTGAAGTGCTGCGGCCAGTGGCCCCCAGCAGCCCGCGTTGGAGCCTGGGTGCTGACGTCCTGGCAGAAGGAACTGGAGGCACCAAAAGGAAATGCCTTCTTCAGTAGGGGAGCGTCCCCCGCCCCACTGCTCTGGGAACAGCTGCAGGCAGGTGTCCTCTCTCCAAGCACTCTCAGACAGTGCTGTGATGAGGCCCATGTCATGGGTATTTGCGGGGACTCTGTGTCTTCTAGGAAAGGCTCCCAGGTCGTAGTCTCCCTGCCAAGTGTCCTGCACTGTGCAGGTTGCTCTCCTGATCCTCAAATGTGCCCTGGAGCTTCCCCTGGACCCTGGATAGCCCAGCACGTGGGTGAGCCGATGTCCAGTGCAGGCCGAACACAAAGTGCATCCACAGTGTGGGCCAGTGGTCATCCTGGTCAGGGCCAGCCTGCAGTTACCACTGCCTGGTGAATAAGACATGGAGTTCGGGAGGGCTGGTCGCCTGCTCCTGGTCATGTCATGGAACATTCTGGAACTGAGGCTCTATGTCGAGAACCAGTGCCTGCTGGTGTCCCTGTGAACTTGGAGGCCCATCTTCCAGGCCAGTCCTTGGTTCCGGCATAATCATTATGATACTGCCTTTCTTCTTCATAATTTTATAGAAGCTAACTTCATTTTCATTTCTCTAGTATATTTTTAAAAAACGAAAAGCAAAGTAGAAAGAATAATGTAAGACAAATACCATTTGTTTTCTACCCAATAATATTCTAAAATAATTGTAACTCTGTTTTAACAAAATAAAAAACATGAACTGTTGCAGGCAACCCTTCTGTCACCCTCCACTGTCTTTGCTATTTCTGATCTTTGCCAGAATTATCTTTTAAAATTTTATTAGTGGTGAAATAGGAAAGTTTCCCACCTAAGATCGGAAGCAGCAGAGGGCTGCCTGCGCTCGCAACTGCCGTTCACGATGGTGCTGGGAATCCTAGTCGGCTCACTCAGACAAAAAACACATCATGTTTGGAAAGAAAAGAGTGAGATTATCATTATTCACAGAGGGCATCATCGTCTGTAGAAAATTCTGCATAACATGTAAACCAAAAATAAATTCTAAACCTCTCAACAATCTAAACAGACCCCTCCCCTTGGCCAAGGGCATTCCAGAGTTAACCTGAAAACTAGCTCAGCCCACGATGGGAATGGGGTTGGATGAGCCTCATCATTCCCTCTCCTGTTGGAATTCAGGAAAAGCCGACCAGCATTAACATCAACACAGATCTCTTCAGTCTGAGAAGAAACATTTACAGTCTATACCTGGAGGCTTCATTTGCATGATAAAACCTTGGTCTCTACAATCCCCTATCACAACCCAGATGCTCCCTTCTATTGAAAATAACCAACTGCCAATCAGAAAATCTTTAAATCTTAAATGACCTGGAAGCCCCCACTTGGAGTTGTCCCCCCTTCCAGATGAAACCAACGTACATCTCACATGTGTCTCCCTAAAATGTGTAAAACCGAGCTGCCCCTGGGCCCACCTGGGGCACATGTTCTCGGCATCTCCTGAGGCTGCGTCACAGGACATTGGCCACTCTCATTTGGCTCAGAATCAGTCTCTTCAAATACTTTACAGAGGTTGACTCTTTTCATTCACATAAAAAAAATGACTAGAACTAAGAGTGAAGTTACCAAAGCTGAGAATACACAGAACAACTGTTTCTATAAATGTGCAATGAACAATTGAGAATTTACATTTAAGTATCATTTATAAAGTCATCAAAGTATGGAACATTTTGAGAAATGTTTGACAAATATTTTTAAGACTTGCAAAATGAAAACTAGAAAATATTGCTGAGTTTTAAAAGACCTAACTAAACAGAGAGGAAAAGCATGTTCATGGACCAGATGACTGGATATTTGGATGATGTCTCTCTCCTTAAATTAATCTATTCAAAGCAATCCCAATCACATCTCAGTAGGTTTTTTGTAGTAATTAACATTAATTTTCAGCTGCTTCTTAAATTCATATAAAATAGCCAACAGGCTGAACAAGACCAGAAGGCTTACCCCATCTGATTTCAAGACTTCCTGTAAAGCAACCACGTTTGGTACTGTGGTATTGGCCTCAGATAGACACTCAGATCAAAGAGACAGAACAGAGCTCGGAAACAGGCCCACAGGTCCCACAGGTGTGGAACTGACTTTTCAGCTGAGATGCCAGTGACTCGTGAGAGCATGCTTGTGTGTGTTTTGTTTTTGCTCCTGGGATATTTCCTTTATTTCCTCTAAGCCTGGAAATGAAAAAACACAATCAGGATCTAGTTAATCCATAGCAGGAAGTTTCTTAGAATATCCGGTCTAAAGGTGCAGAAAATCTGCATGTTTACTCATTCTTGAGTGTCTGCAGAGCTCTGGGCGTTCAGCCAGGTGCTTCGCATGCATCTTCCATTGAATCCTCCCAACAACTCTGTGAGGACATTTCTGCAACCAGTCCTTTTACAGGAGCCCAGAGACTTGAGCAGCTTGTCCTCCATCACATCCCAAACCTGTGTCAGAGCAGAGAATTGATGTCAGGCCTGTGACCTCTCCGTAGCCCCAAATGGACTCATTTCAATGATTGACAAGTTCAAAGAATCCCAGACAGGAGATCAGCTACTAGAATCTCGACAATTAACACCCTCACCTGGGTGCTTCACTTAAATGTTAATAGCCTTGCAGTAAAGCTGCACAGGAAGGCAGGGCAAAATCGAGCCTGCCAAAGGCATAATTTAAAAAAAGACCCCAGGAGATGTGCTTGAGGCTGACAGATTCTTCTGTGCACCCACATCTCCTGTGAGCCCGTCATTTCCCGATCTCCACGGCGTGAAGGGAGGCCTGCTCTTCCTAGATGCTTCAACAAGAGACTGGTGAAGGAAGATTAGGCGTGGAAATGGATCCTGTATCTCAGTGGCCTTGCATATTTGAGTTGAAAACAAAATAAAACAAAAGGAGAAGGCTCCTCTCAGCATCCCCATCTTCCTTTTCTTACCCGGGATGAAGGTTGTGATGGGCATTAACAAGAAAAATGAGGACCCCCCCCTTACAGACGCACCCAGGTGGGGGGTGTGGTACCAGGGTGCCATGAGGACCCTCCCCAGACAGCACACCCAGGTGGGGAGTGCAGTACGAAGGTGCCATGAGGACCGTCCCCAGACGCACCCAGGTGGGGGTGCAGTACCAGGGTGCGTGGCTCATTCATTTATATTAATCCGTTCAGGGCATTGTACCAGTGCCTTGGCCATACCAGAATTTAGGAGATGATTTTTTCTTGTGAATGAACCCATCCATCTTTCAACAGTGATGATACCTTCATGGAGAGAAAAAAAATGCAAACAAGCCCCCAGCACAAACACACCGGCATGGGAAGGGGGTGACGTCAGGATGATGTCTTCTGTGCATGCAGAGCTTTACAATTTGCTCCATGGAACTCGAAAATATGTTTTTTCCAAAGAGGATAAGTTTCTCATAATTTCTGCCTGTTATCCAAACATCACTCATTCTGTTTGTTTTCAAATGTTTCTCTTACCAGGCGGTTAAGCACCTTATTTAAAGAATGGTCTGCTCCATTTGAGAATCTAGTTTTTACTTCTTAAATGTGTGTGTGTGTGTGTGTGTGATGGAGTCTCACTCTGTCGCCCAGGCTGTAGTGCAATGGTGGGATTCTGCAACCTCTGCCTCCTGGGTTCAAGCAATTCTCCTGCTTCAGCCTCCTGAAATGCTGAGATTACAGGCTTGCACCACCATGGCCAGCCAATTTTTATTTTGTAATTTTAGTAGAGACAGGGTTTCACCATGCTGATCTCAAACACCTAACCTCAGATGATCCACCCACCTTGGCCTCCCAGAGTGCTGGGATTACATAGGTGTGAGCCACTGAAACTGGCCTTATTTCTTAAATTGTTTAGTTATGATTTTTCTAACACATTCAGCCTCATATGATGTCCTAAGGCAATGTGCACCAGATAATGTATTGATTGGAAAATGTAGTAAAATGTTTTACTATATTTCAGAATAAGTAGATTCACAATGATAAAGTAAAAATATCAGAAATAGTCAATATTTATTTCACTAAACATTTTCTAGGAAATAATATCTTGTAATTTGTGAACCTCAAATGTCTGAGACAGGTCTCAGTCCATTTAGAGAGTTTATTTTAGGCCAGGCGCAGTGGCTCACGCCTGTAATCCCAGCACTTTGGGAGGCCGAGACGGGTGGATCACGAGGTCAGGAGATCGAGACCATCCTGGCTAACACGGTGAAACCCCGTCTCTACTAAAAATACAAAAAAAAATTAGCTGGGCGAGGTGACGGGTGCCTGCAGTCCCAGCTACTGGGGAGGCTGAGGCAGGAGAATGGCGTGAACCTGGGAGGCAAAGCTTGCAGTGAGCCGAGATCACACCACTGCACTCCAGCTGGGGACACACAGCGAGATAAATAAATAAAAAATAAAAAAATTTAAAAAACAGAGTTTATTTTGCTGTGATTGAGGACACGTGCCTGTGACCCAGCCTCAGGAGGTCCTGACGACGTGTGCACAAGGTGGTCAGGGCACAGCTTGGTTTTGTACATTTTAGTGAGACAGGAGACATCAATTCATATATGTAAGATGTACATTGGTTCCATCCATAAAGGCAGGAAAACTTGAAGCAGTGAGGGGACTTCCAGGTCACAGGAAGGTAAGAGACAAATGGTTATATTCTTTCGAGTTTCTGATTGGCCTTTGCAAAGGAAGCAATCAGATACGCATTTATCTCAGTGAGCAGAAGGATGACGTTGAATGGAATGGGAGGCAGGTTTGCCCTGAGCAATTCCCAGCTTGACTTTTCTCTTTAGCTTAGTGATCTTGTGGCCCCCAAATTTATTTTCTGTTCACAAATTGATACTATCGTTGACCAAAAAAAAAACCCCCCAAACTCTATAAAATATGTGAAGAGGTTTCTTCTGAGCCAATATGAGTGACCATGGCCTGGGCAACAGTCTCAAGAGGTCCTGAGAAAGTGTGGCCAGGCAGTTGGGTCACTGCTCGGTCTTATACATTTTAGGGAGACAGAAGTTACAGGCAAAGACATAAATCAATACATGGAAGGTGTACATTGGTTCGGCCTGAAGATGTGGGACATCTCCAGGTGGGGGCGCTTGCAGGTCGCAGGTGGATACAAAGATTTTCTGATTGGCAGTTGGTTTAAAGAGCTAAGCTTTGTCTAAAGACTTGAAGTCAGTAGAAAGAAAGGCTCCGGTTAAGATAAGGGGGTTGTGGAGACCAGGGTTCTTGTTATGCAGATGAAGCCTCCCAGGCCACAGTCTTCAGAGAGAATAGAAGGTGAATGTCTCTTTTCAGACTTTGAAAGTGTCAGACTCTCCTTTAATCTCCCTTAGATCCGGGGAAGGCCTAGAAAGGAAGGCCGGGCTGCATTAATGGAGATTCTCTACAGATGCAAATTTCTCCCACAAAAGATGGCTTTGCAGGGCCCTCTCAAAATAGGTCAAATAAATATGGTTTGGAGTGAAATATTTTGCTTTCCTTCAGGGTCTTCCATCTGTCCTGTGGTGCTAACGTCAGGCTGGAATTTGGTGTCTCACTGCCACGAAGAGTCTGCTCTGTCAGTCTCATGATCTCTTCTTTAACGTTAATGCTGCTCAGCTGTGCCTAAATCCAAACAGGAGGGAGGATGACTAAGGCGACGTGTCCGACTCGCCTTCCTATTGTGACTGGGAACTCTGTTTTTCAGGTTTCTCTGGAGTCCTCTTGGCTAAGAGGGGATCTGTTCAGTCAGTTTGAGGACTTAGGATTTTAGTTTTGATTTACACTATTAATATAAACATGAACCTCTAGAATCTGTCACTGAGGTGAGAATTGAGTGACAGTGCCTCTGCAGAACTCAAGTCCTCTAAAATGTGCCTGCCCAAGTGTCTCCACGTCACGTTACTCAGATAGGCTGACATAACACTAGTTCATTAAAAAAACATGAACTATGTGATTTATTTTCTGGGAATCATGAAAATAAGAGAAAAACTGTCTAGGGACCCTTTCATAACACAGGCGTCATCACCTGCAGCCTCACACTCCAACCAGGTCCTCAGCTCTGCCTTGCAGGGGCTCCTGCAGGTGGGCGGGGCTGGGCCTGCAGCGGAGCAGGGACCCTTGGGCCTCCCAACCTCCACCTTGGCCCCTCACAGAGCCAAGCATCATCCCAGAACCTCCCAGCATCCAAGGCAGAGCTGCAGAGGATGAGAATTGAGCCTCCTCTGACTAGACCTGGATAAAATGTCAGTGCAGCGTATGAAACACCTGCAGCCAGTGCCTTCGCGGTGGAGGGGGTGGAGGGACAGAGGGACTGGCCTGTTGGGACCACATGTGCCCCAGCAGAGGGAGCCCAGGTCAGCCCAGCACAGCTCAGGAGCTCATCCTCATGAGAACAAAGCTACCACGCAAGTGTCACGGGTGCAACTGACAGGGCCAGTGTCACGAGTGGTAAAAGAATGTACCAAGACTGTTTTGGGTAAGGAACGGCAGATTTGTTAAAGTATAAAGATGTGTTGTAAAAAGTAATGGGCAGCACAGCAGAGAAGGAGCTGTCTGCGGAGAGGGAGGGGCTCGGGGAAGTTGTAGAGGGTCTGCCGCGGTGGCTCGGGGGAGGTGTATAGGGTCGTGCCGCTGGGGCTATGTGGGGATAGGGGTCGTGCTGCTGGTGCTATGTGAAGAATGAGGTGTTTGGGAACCGGATGTTGAGCCAGCCAGTTTTCTGTAATTAGTCATCTCAGAGCAATTGTTCTCCCCGACCTGGGGCCCCTCCCAAGGCTCAGCTGGGAGGACACCAAGCATGAGCACCTCCAGGGCAGCCCTGAGGACCCACCATGGAGGCCGCATAGCCCAGCCCCTACCCCGAGGCTCACCCTCTACAGGAACCCCGGCCTGGGCCCAGCCTCATGGCCCACAGGCAGGTCCTGAGGACACCCACAGCATTGCCTTGAGCTACTTCCTGCACAGCACCCGGGCAGGGTCAGGACACAGCGTGCTCGAGCCCCCACCCTGAAAACCCCATTCTTCCCAGAGCCCAGAGGCCAGGGCAGGTCCCCAGCTGTGCACAGCACTGTTCAGCCCAGGCCCTTGCTCTTTGCACCTGGCCTCCGGGAGAGTTTAACACAGAAAAGGCCCTGCCCTGGCCTCCTAAGATGGAAATCTAGTTGGGGAGGGGGGAGCACAACTGTAGTTAAACACCTGTGAGCAAAGCACTGTTGTGGACAGATTTGTGGG